GTTTTTTATAATTATCTAAGAAATAGTTTTGGATCATTCACTATTACCAGGCACCATAATATTCTTTTATCAACTTGGGAAAGAATTCATTTAATGTGTGTTTTAGCATTAAAGTGGAGGAGCCGCCAATATGACACCAAAAGCACAGGCAACAAAAAAATAAACAAGGACTCCATCAAGCTGAAAAGCTTCTTTGCAGCAAAGAAACAGAATGAAAAGGCACCCATGGAATGGAAGATGATATTTGCAAACTATATTCTGGTAAGGAATTAATCTCTAAAAAATAAGAAGCTCCTATAAGTAAACAGTAAAACTACTAAAAACCCAATTAAAAAATGGAGCAAGGACTTGAATAGCCATTTCTCTAAAGACATACAAATGGCCAACATGAAAAAATACTGTGTCACTAATCAGGAGAATGCAAATCAAAACCACAATGAGATATTAGTTCTTATCTGTCAGGCTGGCTATTATTAAAAAACAAAAGACAAACTGTTGGCAAGGGGGTAGAGAAATTGGTACCCTGTACAATGTTGCAGCCCCGCAGCTACTTTGGAAAACTGTACAGAGGGTCCTCAAAAATTAACAACAAAAGAGAACACTATCATATGATCCAGCAATCCCATCTCTATTTATATATAAAAAAATTAATCAGGATCTTGAAGAGATATTGGAGTTCTCATGCTTATTGCATAAGTGATTAAGAATTTCTATGGCAATGGATTTATTCCTACCTTCCAGGAAGCTGCCGGGACCTTCTAACTGATCTTGTACCTCTTACTGAATAAGCTACTAAACCTTTAAGCTAAAGTGATTTGTAACTCACCTTTAGCAATTTTATAAGGCCTTCTAAATTCATTCATGTATTCATGTCATTTCTGGTACTACCATGCTTTGTTGTACCATAGTTTTCCGTTTTTAAAAAGTAAATTTTTTTTTCTTGTGTTCTTTAAAAAAAAATCTGCTTGGGGCCTCCCTGGTGGCACAAGGGGTTAAGACGCAACCTATGAAGCTATCTGCAGCCACTGCAGCATGAGTTCAATCCCCTGGCACAGCAGATCTCCCACATGGCACGGCAGATCTCTCCTGACATGCCCACTGCTCCCCTCAGAGTGTATTTCAGTCATTCTGCCTGTTCTGCACCCCACTCTGTCTCTGGTGAATCCTCTAACCCACCCCCCCACACCTCTGGCCTGTACCCCAGATCTTGTATGCATAATAAAATAATCTAAAAAAAAAAATTCTGCTATTGATGTTTACTCTTAATTCTAATTTTTGTAAACCACTTTACATCATTTTTGAAAAATTGTGGTAAGGAGATAATTTCAAATTCCACTCAAAAAACTGGAGCAGGGCCTCCTCTGGTGGCGCAGCAGTTGAGCGCTGGGTTGCGAAGCTGCCCGCAGCCTCTACAGTGCCAGTTCGATCCCTGGCTACTCCCCGGCCACCGGAGGAGGGTCCCACATGGCGCGCAGACCTCTCCTGCCGCCCGCTGCTCCCCTCAGCAGTGTACTTCCATCCTTCTGCCTGCTCTGCTCCCCCCTCTGGCTCTGGTGAATTCTCTCACCCTCCCGCGTTTCTGACTGTACCCAGTGCTTGTATAAATAAACAAACAAACAAACAAATAAATAAATAAACAAACGTTTAAAAAAAAAAAAAAAAACTGGAGCAGGAAAATGGTGCAGATATGCAGCAAGACCTCCACGGTTCAAATGCTGGTTTCCTGTAATTACAGCTGTGTGAACTGTGAGCAAGTTACCAGACATTGCTGTGCCTGTTCCTATGCAAAATGGAGACAGTAGTTCCCATTTTATAGGCTTGCTTTGCATCTTAAGTAATATCAGTAATATCCTTATAATGGTATATTTAGAACAGTGCTTGACACATAGCAAAAACTCCAATATTAGCTGTGAGGGTTTATTTTTTTTAAAGATTTATTTACTTATACATACAAGAACTGGGGTGTAGACCAGAGGTGCAGGGGAGTGAGAGAATTCACCAGAGAGAGTGGGGAGCAGAACAGGTAGACTGACTGAAATATACTGCTGAGGAGAGCAGCAGGAGAGACAGGAAAGGTCTGCTGCACCATGGGCATTGCTCTTTGCCTGGCCGGGGATCGAACTCCTGCTGCAGTGGCTGGTGACAGTTGCGCCACCATGGAGGCCCTGTGAGGAATTTTTTTTATGCTGTGGTTTAACATACATAGTGGGGTTCGTAATCTAATGTCAGTGTAAAGAAGCCAATAATCCGATCACATTATCTAACAGAATATGTGGACATGATAGTTTGCAATAATTGCTAGGAAAATTCTTTTGATATTTATCCATTTTCTGCTGACAATATTATCAAATACAATAATATTTCCTTAAGGAAACTGGGTATTAAAATCTAAACTTTTATAAAATAGGTTCAAGAATTGTTTTCCATACACATTTGATTTAAAAAAAAAAAGCAACTTGTGCTCTGCCACTGCAACAAAAGATCTGAAGCAGCAATATATTAAGATTCAATAAAACTGAGGACTTTTTAAAAAAAAAGATGAACTGGGGTAAAGGTGTACATTTGCGTGAAAAGGGAGAAAAACAAACTCTGTCAAACAAACACTTGGCTAGAGGACACTACTGCAGTTGAAACAGAACTTCATTTCCTTAGAGGGCAGTGAAAATAAAGAGAGAGAGACCTGAGAAGTGCTCCAAACCAATATTTCAATGAAAGGCCATCCTCCGCTGGTCAGGAAGAGCAGTTTTTTGCTTGCTTGTTAAGTTAGCACAGGGTGTATGGAGAACCCCAGTCATGATGGAGAACTTTGATGACAGTTTAAAAAAAAAGGGCAGGAAAAAAAGCAGAGGCAGCTTACCTTTGGCAAATCTCTCTTCTAAGAGGAATCTCAATATAATGTCCAAGATTTAGTTTATTCCACAACTGTGTAAACCAGCTTGTAATCTTCTCAGAATCTTCTCTACTTCAGTAATGACAATTCCTTCCAGTCACTCAGGTTAACTGAGCTAGCTGTGTCATGATTCTTCTTGCACACCCCCTATCTGTTCTGCCAGCAAATATTGTCAGTTTTGCCTTTAAAACATCCAGTTATCGCTTCTCGGCCTTTTGGCTAAAATCAAGTGTAAAACATATCCAAGTTTTGGTCACTTTTCAACTATTTCCACTGCCACCAACTTTAATACAAGTCACTATCATTTCTCTCCAGGTTTGCTGCAGTGGCCTCCTAATTGATCTCCCTGGCTTCAGTTCATTCCACTTTGGAGCCTTATTAAAATACAAGTTAGATCATGTCACTCCCTTCCTATAGTTCCCATCTCACTTAGAATAAAATTCAAAAGTCTTAGGAGGGCCTCCACATTGTTTCATACCCACTTCCTAATTCACCTGTCACTTTACCTCTTTGACCTTACTTCTTCCCCCCTCACCCTGCCCCCCATAGCTGCACTGGACTCTTTATTATAGTAACATACCGAACATGCTTCTACCTGAGGACCTGTCCAATTGCTTATCTCTCTTCCTTAATGCTCTTTTCCTAAGTAACTACTCTCTACAGTCCCTTACCCAATTATCACCTTTCCAGTGATATTTGATATTTCAAACACACACACACTCACCACCACACATGGCCTTTTGTATCTCTCCTATATTACTTGTCCCTTCAGCCTTGTTTACTGTCAGTCATACTGTATCTTTTCTTTCTCTTGTTCATTTCTCTCTCTCCCCCTAGAGAACAGACCTCATGAAGACAGCAATTTATTTTCCCCTGCCATATCACCCAATGGTTACACCAGGTCTTGGTGCATAGTAGATATTCAAAGACCTATTGTCAGAATAAATGTACAAAATTTGAGGGCATGGCCTTAAGGTATAATTCTGAAAGTAGCATTGGGGACAATGCTAATTAAGGAATAATTCTGAAGGTAGCATTGGGGACAAGTCAGAATAATATAGTTATGTACTATTTTGGTGATCTGATTTTCTATAGGGCTAATACTTAGAATATTAACACACAGGGATAGATCACTGGTCTTTTCACCAGAAATCTTTAAAGTGGGGCAGCACAAGATGATACATAGGGATATGGAGCCAAAAGAATTAGAATTATATTGATCTTATAAATTCAAAGAAATAATGGGTGGATTCTCACTGCTGCACTCAGTCTATGTGCCAGAGTGGGAGTATGCAAAAGTGAGGTGTAATTATATATTTAAATTATTTTTTATTCTTTCTTTACATATACTAGGAGATTTTTCTATCAATGGAAATAAGCAATTGAAGCTTCAAGATAACCTGGGAAAAGACTCTCCCCCTCTGACAGCTACCCTGTCTTGCCTGCTTCATGATTCTAACATTTTAGATGAAGGGAATGTTTATTTCCTGTATAAATTAAAGAACATTTAAACATTAAGATTGCTTTGATAAAAGAGTTAAGCCATGAAGATTACCTTCCTTGAGAGTGTATACAGGAGCCCCAAATGCAACTTTTTCCCCATTAGCCAGAATACTGACACTCTCTTAATACAACTAAATAAGTTAAAAGTATCCTATTAGGCATTAGCAAAATGACAGACTATTCAAAACACTTGAACAGAAAAATACCCAAATAATAATTTAAATTATCTGAGTTTTCAAAACTTGAATTTGATAGAAAATGAACCAGATTTTTCTCAGTCGGTAGGAGGAAATTCAAAATTTCAGGAAGAACATGAACTTTTTATGGGCACCGAGGCACTACTTAATAGCTTAGTATATAACTTGCAAAGAGCCAACTCTCTAAGCAGGACTTAACAATTTGTTAACCACTAAACAAAGTTCCTTTATTAATAATTAAGAGATGCTTCTGGCAAAAGATCCAGAGATTTAGATTTACAGTAAACACAAACTTCTCATCTATTTCAAATAAATATTTTGAGTGTGTGATAGATCTATCCATGAATTTTCACTTCTGGTTTCCAGTACTTAAGTGTAAAAATGAACTGACAGAGACAAATTCAAAAATCTATTTTGAAAGTATTTACTTAGTTTGAATAAATTAATTGCAAATAAAAATTAGCTACAATATATAGCCTGAATAGAAATGACTAGAACAAATACAACACAGGATTTGATTTCCTTGAATTAGTCACCAAACATGTGACGATCTAGAAAACTTCAAAATCAATTAATATTTCTTTGAAAAAGGGGTAACAGCAGTTACTGATATATCACAACTAGTAAACTTATAATACAAGTTTCCTGACATGCATTTCCTGAGTGAACCCAAATGATCATTTTTAAAAACAAGGAATTTTGACAAGTTGAAGTAAAACAAAACAGCTCATGGCTTCTAAGCAACAAGTTGTTTTTTTTAAAACAAAAAGAAAATTCAGAACAGCTTTGTAAAAGGATAAATTAAAGCTATGCTACCACATACAAAAATTTGCTACAATTAATATACAACTTTTCAAACTAAAGGAAAACAAGAGATTAAAAAGGATCCCGTCTAATCAAGAAGTGTATTGATTTCTTGATGTAGTGCAACTTCTACTTTTCTTGTGGTACATTAAAAATAAGCAAAAAATAAGTGAGGTGGGAGGGAAAATAAACCTTTTCTTGCTTCCCAAAGAACTTAACTGAATTAGAGAAAAAAAAGAGACCATGCAAATATGTCCCTCCATTCTGCTGTCATTGGTGCTCATCTGCCAACCAAACATTTTTTGGAGTCACACTGTGGCAACTCGCTTTAGGATTCAAGCCATGGTTAAGGCTGGTCTTTTAGATTAAAAAAGGGGGAGGCACTACTGTCATCCAATCCTTTCTCTCTAATTTTCTAATGTGTGGATAAGCCAAATATAGAGTAATTAATTAGGCATTTCTTTTTCTAAAAGCAAATCAAACCACTTTTCCTTTTCTGTTAATTTATGCTTTTTCTCATGAGAATGATTTTTTTCCCCCTGAACAGTGAACAGATGAACCACAGTTTATATCTAAAAAATAAACTTGCCAAATGTTGTGATACTAAAAACAGATTAATTATCATGGGAGAAAAATAGATAATCTAGATTAAATTGCATATTCAAAGGCGCATATAAAATATTTTTTAGCATTAAATTTTTGTTATAGTACTACACTTCAGAGAAACATTAAGGAAAAAATTTTTTCCTGATTATCTTCAATGTGGTTAAAAACAAACACCTTTTACACAATGGTAATTAATATGAATTCGATTTTACAAAGTATTGTAATTTATTAAATTCCATATTGAGATGGGGTGGGGAGAGCTCTCTTGCCTTTCTTCCTAACCTTGCAAATCCTTGAGCTATGCTCACTAAACTACCATCACACCGAGTAGTGTGACACCATTGTTACCATGCTACTCTATCAAGAACATTCTAAGATATTTTCCCTAGTAAAGATAAATAGAAAAAGTTAATATACATGTTGCTGTATTTTACAATGTTTGCAACAAACTGTAAACTAACATAGTTTGAACCAACAATACCCTCAGTTATACAAAAACAATTTTTCAACACTGAGGATGGGTGATTCAAAAACACTAAAATGAAGGCATCAAATTAGACTATGTCTTTTTCTCCTCAAAATATATTTTCAAAACTCAGAATTCAGAAGTCTGGTACTTTCAGAAATTCCTTTGTTGAGTTTCCCAGATATTTGCTCATAAATTGCTACTATTTGTTATAAATGTTTTAAAAAATTCATCATCTTAATGCAAATAATCAGAGCAGAGAAACTGTGACGTGGACAACAGGTTGGAAAATCCAACTCTCTTAGCTTATAAATTTATAATGCAGTCCTGAAGGACAACTGTCTGTTAGTCTAGAGGTCCTTGGAAAATAAGTCTGATGTAGCCTTGTTCACCAGCCAACTGATGTGCACAAAAGGGACAGGCTGCATGAAAAGTATGAGTACCATGAGGAAGTGGGATCTGGGACCAATAGGCAGTTGTCTTTTCTGAACACACATGCCCGCATGGGCTAAACGCATGGGTTGGAGGGCCGGCGTCCACATAAAATCCAGCTTCACATCCAAGCCACAGAGGTACATAGGGACCAACAGACCTACACATAGGACATTCACGATCTTTTCCATCACGTTCTTCTTTGTTTCCCCAGTTATGATAGCCGTGCACATGGCCACAGTTTAGATACACCCATGGTTGTTTTTCATCGACAACATCTTTCCTCTTCATACTAGGAAATGCTAGTGTGTTGAACCCTACAGGGCACTGAGGTCTTGCTGCATTGATTTCCTGTCTTAAAGCTTCTAAATGTTTCACCGTAGGAGTGTGGGAAAGGCCTTCTGCAGTACGCCACAGCAACGTTGCACCACAGAGATCAATTAACGAGCCATCTTGTAACTGATTGGTTTCAATTTCCACCTGCAGGAAGCAAGAACAAATACATTCACCACTGTATTTTGGATTTTTACTAGCAGTTTTGCCTTTACATGTTCCTTATTGAGGAACTGGGATTTCCTATCACAGTTACTACATACTTAAGAAACTCTAATGGCAGTCATGGAAAATATAAGTTTGAAAACTGAAGAAAAAATACTGACTGCATCGCTTCATCTTTAAAGACAATTTATGATTAGAAACATCTGGCTAATTAATCAGTAAGTCTAATATTTCCAATTAGGTAACCTCATGGCCATGTATACAGATACAATTAGAAAATAAAAAGTGCTGCTTAATTTGGAAAAGCTTAGACTAAAAATATATTAACATAATATGAAAGAAGAACACATTTTTGGAGTCCAAATTGAAACATTAAAATATCATCCTCTAGTATAGTTTTTGGTAATCACTGAGACACTTTGAACTCTGTCAGCGAAAGGTTTAATAGTTTTGGGGCGTATATGTAATGCATTTAGCCCATCTCACCTTATACGTTAATTATAGCTAAACGAAAAACTACATCTGAGTACTTACCATTTTTCCTCTCTGTTGAGCTGATCTGGTTTCACGCAGGCTGAATACATTTCCACACACTGATATTTCTCTCCATATTCCAGGCTTAGAGTCTTCTGTGAACCCATTACGTGGATGCATAACCAAGACACCATTGGTGGTCAAGCCATCCATCTGCCCATCTGCAGTCTTCCATTTTGCAGCCTTCTCCTAGTAGGAGTAAGAAAAATAAGTTTCTACTTATTTATAATTTGGAAATAGAAGTGGTTATATAACAATGTATCATTTAGGGGAAAAAAGCTTTTTACCCCAAGAAAGATGTTTTTTGATGAGTCAAATCCTGCAGCATAAATCCGTGCTGTAAAGGGGGGATTCCGTTCACATATGATTCTACAAGCAAATCTTGATATAGTGCTCTGAACTGACTGTGTATCAGAATTACTTTGACTTCCAGGAACTGTGTCAGTTACTACAAAATCAATGGGACTTTCAGTCGACCGACCAATCTAAGGGAAAAAGAAATATCTATAAACCTATTCAAAAGAGCACAGTAGAAAAATCCATTCACAAAAGGCACAATTAAATCTCTGAAACTTCTAAAGCTTGACCTCATCTTAAGTCTTCACTCCTTAACTCTAGAGACAGCTATACTCTTGAAAACGAGTCTGTCAGGCTTCCTCTGATGCAGTAATTCCTTAAAACACATGAATTAAGTGAGAACTTATGACTCAAGATACAGGAAAACTTCAGGAAGTACATAATTTGGGATAACTGAGTTTTCTAGATGACTGCTAATTTTAATTTTCACCCTTTGCCTAGAAACATGTCTACCACATATTATTCTACTTTCTTTAACAGAATATACAGTAAATACATAAGTGACGTATGTATTTTTGATGACTCCAGAACATTACACAGTGGATACCATTCATATTAAGCTGAAACGCAGTGATGTCTTTAGGTACTATAAAGGAGTACAAAAATAAGTATCCTATGTTAAGGGAATATATAGTCTTGAATTGAGGTCTTCACATTTTTTTTGTATCTTTTCTGTCAGGTTGTCAGCTAACACTTCTTACTACTGGGCATACTTGTTTGTAGCAGCTTTCCTTTCCTCTAACAGTTCACTTTGCTATGAGCTGAGAAATCAAATAACCAACTTCAGAAAATAGTATTGCCAAAGGTTCTTGAAAAGAAATGTCAGTGCATGGACTGTGGAATATGGACTTTATATACCTAGAAGTCTTTTATATTTTTTCCTGGTTCTTGGCCATATTTCAGAGAGAAAAGGCCCCCAGTTTCTATGAAGAGTTCTGGTGGGTGACATGTCAATGAATTAAAAACATCTTCAGAGATGCTAGTTAATAAATAATTTCATTTTGAAGGATAAAAGTTGGAAGAAAAAAAAAAGGAACTTAGTAGAAAAGATAACCAAAGTGGCAAGTGTCATGGGGTTTTAAAATAAGTATTTAGAAATGATTAGTTCATTAATGTTTTTGTTATGAAGTTATTTCATAAAACTGAAGAATATGTGAAAAAAATACCGAAGGGCTTTAACAAAGATGACTCTTAAAAGTCATTCTTTGCATAGCAGAGTCTTAAGAACTTCTCAAATCAGGGCCTCCCCGGTGGTGCAGCGGTTGAGCGCTGGGCTGCGAAGCTGCCCACAGAACTCTGCAGCATCAGCTCGATGCCCAGCCGTCGGCGAGGGTCCCACATGGCACGCAAATCTCTCCTGCCGCGCCCGCTGCTCCCCTCACCAGTGTACTTCGTCAGTCTGCTTGTTCTGTTCCCCGCTCTGGCTCTGGTGAATTCTCTCACCCTCCCGTGCTTCTGACTGTACCCAGTGCTTGTATAAATAAATAAATAAATCTTTAAAAAAAAAAAACAAAAAAAAAACCTTCTCAAATCAGCACTTTCAGAAAAAACGCTATAGTGTTTTTTTTTGGTCCTATCATCAAGTACAAAGTCTTTTTCTGGTTTGAAATAGTTTTAGGGGGAAATTGACTGTTTAACTAATGTTAAGATTGGATGCCTACTTTCTTTATTTTTAAGATAATAATATCCTAAAGAAATGGTCTCAGACCTTTGAAATGAAAAATATTTCCACTATTCCAAAAAATTCAGCATTCCATTAAAAAGGGTGGGGGGAAGAGAGTGACTTCAAAGAAACATTTTGCTATTGATTATAATTAGCGACATCTCCAGACCTTCCCACCTTCATTTAATCTTGAAAAATAAAGAAAAATTGAAAAATCATTAGGCCAAGAACAAAATTATGCCCTATTTAACCTTGTTTCAAAAAAACTCAAGGCTTATAAAACCCAATATTAAGGGAGAAAGGATCATGAATTTTGCTTATGATTTGAATTTAGTTGTCCTGTCATTTATAGGACATCTATAAACTATACAGTTTATAAAAATAGCAATGAATTGGTACAAAGAATGAGAAAAAAATTTTATTGCTCCAGTAGCTTTGGCCAAGTAGGTAATTGTTAGACTTCACATGTATGATATGAATACTTAGAAACTGCCTGTACATTTAGTTACCTATAGAGGAAAGTAGAAAGAAGTAGCAAGAAAAGATTTTTTTAAAAGTCATGAATGTCTCCAAATATTTGTTGGTTTCCTGTTTTAGATAATAGCTAAGAATGGTTTTAGTTACTAGTATTAACAGCAATGTGTTTATCAGGTACCTTGCACAGCTCTGAGCACTTTATAGGCACTAGAACATTTAAGCCTGCCAATAATCATTAGAGGGATAGTCTATACATGCACTTTACAAGAGGAAATTGAGGTACAGAGTGGCTAAGAAATGTTTATCAGGAAATCTGATTTCAGAGTCCAATTCTTTTTTTTTTTTTTTTTTTTTTTATAGAGGCATGCTTTTATTTATTTGTTTGCTGGTTTGTTTGTTTGTTTTTGTTTATACATGCACTGGGTACAGTCAGAAGCGCGGGAGGGTGAGAGAATTCACCAGAGCCAGAGCGGGGAGCAGAGCAGGCAGAAGGACCGAAGTACACTGCTGAGGGGAGCAGCGGGCGGCAGGAGAGGTCTGCACGCCATGTGGGACCCTCCTCTGGTGGCCGGGGAGCAGCCGGGGATCGAACCGGCGTCGCAGAGGCCGCGGGCAGCTTCGCAACCCAGCGCTCAACCGCTGCGCCACCGGGGAGGCCCCCCAGAGTCCAATTCTTAACCATATTACCTGACTTTATATGTGGAGTTTAGAAATCAGTATAAAAATATTACATATAATAGATAAAATATTATAATAAAATATAATAATTCTTAATGTGGCCAAAGCATTGAGTTACTGACAGAAGGCTTTTACTATTTGTTTTTAAGAAAAAAAAATTAGGATGTTGTAATACCTGAAACATATCAGTATTGCTATCATGAGTATACTCAACCACCACGGTCTGGGCCCGAGATAAGGTGTATGATATGCTATGCTGGTCCTTGTTGCTTATTGCCTAAGAAAGAAAGATTAATAGCAAATATTAGCAGGCAGGTCAATCAAATAAAATAATTTTAAAAAGACTAATCTATTTATTACACATATGCCTTATTTTCTTCTTGAAATTTAGGGTAGAGATTAATAACTCTTGTATAACCTCATCTGTGATGGTAGCTTCTCAGGTTGAATGGGGCATAAAAGAATACTATATAGGCTAAAAAATATAATTTCACTGTATTAAAAATATGTATTGTATTAAAATCTGGTCTTCCTAATCAAAACCAAATCCCATGCAGAAACAATACTGTTCTGATAAGAAGAAAATATAAAATCTTGCAAGATAAGAGGAATCTTACTTTTAAAGTAATTCAGAATTATAAAATCAACCAATAAGCAGCTAACTGGTTTTCCTAACCATTCTGTGATTCTTTGGAAGAGAAGTATTTGCCATATGCTGCACAAGATACAGAAAAATTCATAGAATGATTACACATTACCAAAGGAAATGGATACAATGCTTATGACTGTATTTCTGACTTATCCCAATTTTAAAAAACATTGCTAAAAAGAACTTTTCAGTTTTGTTTTCAGGTATTGTCTATGTATCTAAGAGGAGATAGTATCAGAAGGGGAAAAAACCTGCACAAAGGAAGTGGAAAAATGGCTGCGTAAAAGGAAAATAGATATAAAGACACAAGATTAGTGATTAGACAGTAAAGAGGCTAAATGAAAAAATGCTTCTTAATTACAACCCTGCAGTTAATCTGTAATAAATAAAGCACGTGCTCTAAGATTAATTAAGACTGGGAAATTTTCTAATGTACAAAGAGAATAAAAACTTGGGTACTACCTACCTACCTTTATCAAAGTATAATACCCTTTTGTTCTGATTTTTTTAAGAAACAATTTAACTCAAGAGATATAGTGGAGGCTGCTTATATGTCCCGCTCCCTATTTCCCTTCTCCAGAGCTATTCAACCTCGGGCATGCATGTTGTTAACATTTTTCTCTACACATTTTTGTATTCATAAGGATTAAATGATTGACTTTTCAACTGGTAACTGCTCAGCATTTTGGAAGTTAATTCTTAATGACTAAAGAGATTTTAAAACACAAATTTTTGTGTTAAACCCTGTTTTTTTTTTTTGGTTTGTTTTTTAACTATTAAAGTTATTAGAGTGAGAATAAGAACTATATCAAATTAAGTTCTCAGTGGACTGGAAGGCAGGGTTTAACCACTTATCCAGATGACTACCAGACTGAACAATCAGTGCCCTTTATTGTCTAGTAAAGATTAAAAAGAGCTAACAAAGAAAACATTAGGAGGATGACAGCAGAAGTGTAAAGAAAAAGTAAGAAAAGAGGTAGGGGTTTGAATTTATGTTCCCTTGTGGTTCTCAACCAGGAAATAGTATTAACTGCACAAGGAGCTTCTGGAAATAAATGGATGAATTTTTTGGATCATCACAATGATTTGAGGGCTTTAATGGCATTTAATAGGTGGAGACCAGGAGCATTAAATACCCTGAAATAGGCGGACAGTCTTGCACAAAGAATTGGCACACCAAAAATGCCAGGAGTACTCCTGTGGGGAAGTATAGGAAAAATGAGATAAATAAACTGCTCACATCCCTCACCTGCTCAGTACACCTCCCTTCTCTGCAAAAGAGCAAGAGAAATATCTAAAAGAAACTATTGCTTTTCTATATTCATTGGTTCTCAAATAGTAGTATTTCAGCAAGGTTTGAGGTCTATTTTCTTAAGACATTACACTGGCTAAAAAAAAATTGAAAAATCTAAGCTAAAAATCCAATTAACTTCAGAGACTGGAGAGGTGATCTAAAACAGGGCATCATGTGCTGATTTTTCTGTCTCTCATTTTTTTTTAACTTATAAAGATATACCTCAGATGCTGTAATATTAATCATATATCTGGGGGCATATAGTTAATATACATCTAGGGATGCTTAGCTAAAGATAAAGATACTTCCAGAAGTCAAAGAACCCTAACTTTTACTCATCCATCAAAGTATTAAATTCAGTCTGTATTATTAAATTGGTAGCAGAGGAATTCACAGGAAATAAAAAGATCTGAAACTGCTCCTAATTGTTACTCTAGGAAAAGCCCATGTGTCCTGAAATGGTGGCCTGGCCTCTGGATATTTAGGTAGGAAAAGAATAGGGGGTAGTAAATATATCAGTAGATTGTGAAGTTTTCTTGTAGACAGAGTTGGGGATTTGTTTTTATAGTTTTGATTCAATATAACAATGACTGAGGTCTACTTTGTTCAAGGTATTATACTTAATTAAATCCATGAGGATCATGAAAAAATAAATAAAAGAGTATCCACACACCCTTAAAGAAGATGACCTCATCCAAACATGCTTCTATACCTGAATATACATACATTACTTTCCTTGTCCAGCCTAGATGAGGTTCCTCTAGTAACAGAGGGAACTCCCTACTTCTCAAGGCAGCTACATGATTCTAAATACTAGATGAAACCATAGCCCACACCCACCTTTTTTTAATAAGGAAAGGGAATGTTTCTATCTATTTTTTACATAAAAATTCTAGTTTGTCGTAAAAAAAAATTCTGATCCCCCTTCCATATGGCAGCATTGGAAAAACCATGTCTCCAATGTCAATTCCCATCCAAACAAAAGGAAAATTCTTGTATAGAAATGTGAAGGGCATGTTAGAGAATATAAATGACATGTACAGTTCAAGTTACTTAATTTGGTTTGCCTTTTTTTTTTTTTTACCTTTGCAGCCTGAGGAGTACAAGCAATATGCACAGTGCTTGGCTTCACCCCATTTGCCTTAGGTCTTTTAAACAAAGCAAATCTACTTTTCCTCCTTCCTCTATCGCCGTTTGGGAGAGACCCATTATACCTGATGGGGGGAAAAAAAAGTTAGCTGATCTTTTTGTGAGAACTACACAGTTCTAAAACAATTATTTTGCTCTGCCTTATAGGATCAGCCCCTAATTAATTATCTATTAGCATAACATAATTATCCCAAATTCCTCTTAGCAACTGCTGATCCCTAAGTATCCTAAGCAGCTGCCTAAGTATGATACAAAATGAGATTCTTCTGGCTACATTTCAAGTCATAGAGTACATTTAGGATTAGCTGTAGCTCTGATTTAGCTGTATTTTTCTTCTCTCTTTTATTGAAGATAATCAAAAGCTGGTTAGTGGTACCTAACGCCTTATGACTCATTCTACTTTTTTAAGGTGGATATTTGTGAGTGCTAATATAACCTTTAAAAGTACAGTATGAATTTTTAAAAATAGAATCTCGTTTGTGAACCAAATGCTTTAAATTGCTGAACTTCTGAAATAAGGAATTTTCAGACTTGCTTGCTAAGTCTCAGCTACTTGTAGATACATATAAACATTTACATTTTTGATAAAACCTATCCAACTAAGACCCTGCCAAGTAGAAATGGTATTTTTGTTATCCAGACCTTATGAGCATTTCTCTATCACAACTTATATATGTCCTGAAGGTAAGCTAGGATTGAACAGGGGAAAAGTTAAAAAAAAAAAAAAAATTGATGTTTTCTATGTATCAGGAGGTACTATTGGGTTCTTTTCCATATATGCTTTCACTTAATCCATCCTCATAAGAACACTGCAAAACTGGCTTCACTCTCCATTTTTACATGTTAGGAATTAAATTATTCCTCAGAGGAATTAAGTTTTTCAGAGGCATTAAGTTATTTTCTGAAGGTAACATAAGCGACAATAGTGAAACTAAAATTTGAATCTAGGTGTTTGTCATGCTTTTATTTGATTTTTTATTGCTTCTTTTTGATATAAGTAGTAGCTTAATAATAATTTCTCCTTATTCGTTGATCCCACTCCCCAACAAAATCTTTGGTCTGATGGTCTCCCATAAACATCTGGTCAATATAGTTGGGGGGTAGAGAGGTGGGTGGGTAGGGGGTGGGAGGGTAGTGAGGAATGAGGTAGGGAACAAGGGCAGTTTTGAAGTTAGAAGACAGCAGCATTGCAAATTGGCCTATAATGGTGGCTGATAAGGGAACATTTACTCAAAGACTGTCAACATAGAAATTACTCTGACTCTATAATAAAAAGAAAACAATCTGAATTCCACAGGAGGAAGCCCTTGCTAATCTTGCTAGTCCTGCTAAAAAATTTAGAGTAGAACTCCTTACCCAATACATTAAAATTTGGCCATTCCAGACTATGTGCTTCCACCAATTCCCTGGGGTTTCTTTTCCTTTTTTTTTTTTTTTTGGTGGGACCCTCGCCGGGGGCCGGGGAACAAACCTGAGCTGCAGAGGCTGCGGGCACCTTGGCAGCCCAGCACTCAACCACTGCGCCACCAGGGGAGGCCCTCACTGGGGTTTCTTCATTGAGCCTCACCACTGTCTGCTGAGTTGCACGAGTTCCTCTTCTGGAGATAGGCTTTCTACCCTATTGTGTTCTACAGGTCAAAGTTCTTTTTCTAAGTAGCAAAAGCACAAACTGACAACGTCTAGCTTTACTTCTTCTAAAGGGTAGGAAAGAAGTATTAGGATTTTGAGATACCGAGAGCCAGATATAGAGACAACTTTTGCTAAAGATTAACTGAGACTCTGCTAGGCAGTTAAACCATATAATATATTTTAAACTCTAGTCTTCAAATGATTCAAATTTCATAGTAGAAGAATTTAACTTAGAATAGCTTTTTGGTCGTTAAAAGCGGTTTATTAATGTTTTAAAATTGATGTGATTGAAAGCTGAAATATACTCTCTTAAGTTGATGATCTTTTAAATTCTACTTTTGAGGAAAAAAATTACAAGTCTCAAAGAGCCTTAGATAATCTCATCTAATTGTCATTTTACAGAAGCGCTAACTAAGGCCCAGAATAGTTAAGTGACTGTCCAAAGTCTTGCTATTTGAACTCTGTATTAGCTCCCCAATTTTTCTTACTTTCATCTGAAACAATGGACACATTTTCACTTAAATAAGAGTGCGTTCCAACCTGATTCTAAAACATGTTATAGTGTCTAGACCTGCTTTTTAGGCAGAAGAGAAACAGCAGGAGGAAAGTAAATTTTGTGATTTCTAGTTTCTGGGATCGGCAGTTAACAGATTAACATTATGTCTCTGTTTTGACAATTATGGCAAGTTTAGATCGAATAAATTGAAATAATAGAATTATCTTTCCTCAATCTTTAGATTGTGTCTGTGGGGGCTGGATGAATGACATTACTTTTAAAGCAAACAAGCAGCAAGGTTGTGAGTTTCAGAGTCATATTGTTATGCCTATATAACTCCTTTCATCAAGTACAGAACCACAAGCATAAAGCAACTACTTCAGAGGCGCAGAAGAACAAATACTAACCCACATGAAATGATCTAAAGGGGCAGGGGACTGAGACAATTTTTCTAAAAGATGGAACAGGGAAGACAAATGGAATGATTATGTGACTTTAGACAAACTTTTTCATTTCATCTTAAGAAGCTTTGTTCTTACTGGGGGTGAGGGTGAGGCCAAGTTTATACAGTATTTAAGCGTTTATAAGAGATGGTATAAATATGAGAATTATGAAAGTTTCTTGATTTGATCATATTACTCCGTAGCTTTAAATCCTTTTTGGAAGTAGGATATAAATTCTAAAAATACGTACTTTTAACCTAGATGCCAGTTACTATATATTATTCAATGTTTTATGTTATTAGATGAAGAAACCTTACCCTAAGACAATGAGTTCACCATATTTGACTGGTGCTTTAGATGGATGATTTTCTTGATCAGGAGAAAACATGAGCTTGGCTGTCTTTCTCAAATCTTTGTTCACTGGTCAGGAGCCTTGGGACACCTTTTGCATTATTTCCTAGAGGGGAAAAATTTTCATTAGTATTATGAACAATAAATTTCAGTTTCAATACAGATGTCATTTTCCAACAGTCCTTGTGAGCACAGTATTAATGAAAGTACCACATATTATTTGAAATGTGGGACATTTTCTCCAAAAGTGGCTCTATATTTGATGCAACTACTTAAATAGGTTAAAAATGTATTGGCGATTTCCACTACCAGGAAAATGGGATAAATGTTATTTTTCCTTGTTACTTCTGCCAAATATACCTAAAAAGCCCTGGACATTATATATTATATACATATATATTATATACATCATATAAATAACATATATATATATATATATAAAAAAATACAGGAAGACTGAAAAGTTGTGAATAGGCTGTCTATTCTCAGCCTATTAGGGATTTTGGGACCCAGTGAAAACAGAACTGTGAGTTCTCTGGGTTTTTTCTTTTTTGGTTTAATCCATCCCAGACTTGGAGCTGAAGATAGCAACCTAGAAATGCCAAATGGCAGATACAGGGAGAAAAAAAAGGCCCCAAGAAAAGCCTGCTCTCTTGTAAAGAAAGGAGCAGTCTTAGCAAGACAGAAACTTTTGACAGAAACTACTCTACTGTAGCCAAACATCACAGAAACATGGTGCTCCCACCGCCACCATAACAGCTAGAGCCTAATAGGGAGGACTTGGGAGAAATTAAGACCCATGTTCACACAAAACCTGTACACAGGCAATTATACAATTCACATGTTGCACTTTATTTTCAATAGTTGCTTTATTTATAATAACCCTCAAATGGAAACAACCCAGATGTCCTTTATTGGGTGAATGACTAAGCTGTGGTACATCCATATTGTGGAATAGTACTCAGCAATAAAAATACATTATTGATACATTATTGAATCTCCAGAGAATTAAGCAGAGTAAAACAAGTTAACCTCAAAAGGTTATATAAATGATCCCACTGTATGATATTCTTGAAATGACGAGATTAAAGAAATGGAAAACAATGCTTCCAGGAGTTAAAAGGAGGTGGGTGGGAGGAGCAAAGTGGGCATCAGTACAAAAAGGCAATGTGACATAAATGTTCTACTTTTCATCAGTGTCAATATTTTGTTATATTTCAGTATAGCTTTATAATATACTACCATCTGGGAAAACTGGATATAGGACATACAGGATTTCTCTGTGTATTATTTCCTAAAGCTGCATGTGACTCTACAGTTACCTCAAGATAAAGTTTAATTAAAAAGTACACATTTGCTACATGTATGAAAAACAAGACTAACATCTGATAAGTCACAAAAATCACTACAATAAACAATCCCCACAATTACTGTCATAACTACTTCATCAATTGTTTAATGGCACTAGGTATTTCCTGTATCTATTTTCTCTCCCTGTCTTCCTATTAGGAACTGTTACAAAGATTTCACAAATAAAATGTTACTATCTGGTGGGGAGAGGGGAAGGGATCAAAACAGGGGAGAGAAGAGTACAAGGAACTATGGTGAAGGTTCACTGGGTGAACTGGTGGTGGGAATTTTACCCGCAATACACAATGATGTAAAATACATAAATGAAAAAAATTATAAATGGTAAAAATAAAATTAAAATAAAACTGTTACTAGCTAACCCACACAAGTGTCCTGGTTTTATACTTCCACAGAGTTCATAGAAAGCTCATGAATGAAAAATGCCTACTAAATTAATTTAAAAAGATGAAACACGCTTCAGAACTACTTGAAGAAAAACAGTTCTTCCATTCAATATATATAAAATCCTCTCATCTCCTGAGATGAATATGCTTTTGTTGACCAGATTTTAAATCCTTAGATGGTTTAAAGGGTATAGAAACTAACATACAGTTATACTGTCACAGTTGTGAGATATAAGGACTCCTGAAGAAATGTTTTACATAAGTAAAAGACACTATACTGATCAAACTCTCCATGTGGAAAAAGAAACTGATGTGACATGAACATAAACTTCCAATGTAAAAGTTTAAGTTTCAAAAAAAAAGCCAACACAAACAGAATAATTTTAATTCCATATGACAAAACCTTCTGATGTACATTAAGCCATATTTGATCAGTGTATTCATATGAACACATTCAAAGGAATACACATATTCATTTCCCCCTTAAGGATATGTCACTTACAAAAAGCTAAGTGGAAGCTTAGAGATTTTAAGTATGCTTTTCTTATTAGACAATTAAGGTACAGCCATCAAATATTAAAACACCACTCTGACACATTTCTGACCAAGAACATCAAGAATTAAAAACTTAATAACATGATTTGTTTAAATATAAATTTTAAATTAAACTTTAACAACAATGCTCTGTCTTGATTTGGATTCCAATTTAGAGTTGCTTTCTATTTTAGGAAGTTATGGTTTCCATTTACAGTAGCAATAAACTTCATTTAAAAAGTGCATTTATTTAAAGAAGTCAATTTAAAAATATTAAATTATTTGTCTAGCTTACACATATGTCAAAAATCTGAAACTCATATGTAAATTTCTGTATTTGGCTGACACTAGTGTATCATGACTACAAGTATAAGGCTATGTTCCATCTCTAGAGCTCTTGAACAAAGTAATGTTTCCTCATCTCTAGAAATGAAGGACTATAGAATGGAGAGAATTTTGGAGCTGGAAAAATATGAGACAATCTGATCCTAACACAGTAATGTAGAAAACATGTGCAGATAGCACTATGGATTTAGTCCTATTGTCTCTATAGCAAAAGGCACAATTTTTAGTTTAGAGAAGACATTTAGGGCTTGATAATACTCACTATTCTATACTTTCTAGAATCCTTGACTAAATTAACCAAGAAAAACAATGTTCCTAATTATTTTGCTTAGGTTCCTTCCAATAACTGATCTTGGGATATTTTTTTAGTACTGTTAGGGGGAAAAGGATGTGGACTTTGTGGACTCCACCCCCACTCCAGACCAAAGACACTGGGAACTACAAATCCCATCATCACCAAAGGGAAGGCTGCCAGAACCTGAGGGTGGGGTTAAGCAGCCAGGTCTGGTATAAAACCAGACACGTGGGCTTTGGGGAAATCCCCTTTTTTGGCTCTCTGCCAGCTTGCAGCACTTGGCCAGCTCTCAGAATACCTTTGGGTTTCCAGGTCGGCGGATCGGGTAGGACGCATTAAAGACTTTATTTCCCTATTTTCTCCCTGGGTTGTACATTTCCTCAATTCCCTTTCCCTTGTAAATAAACCTTTTATTAACCTTTTTAGTGTGCCTGTAGTGGAGTATTAATAAGTCCCTTTTAAGCGCGGGTGAGGACCCACAGCCAGGCAACCTGTTTTATATCAGGGCTGCTCCATAACAGTACTAAAGTTTCAATCAAAAGAATACATTCAAATATGCCTTCTATATCTGTGCCTAATAATCCAAAACCTGTAACAAAACACTCTAATATTGCTTACTTATACATTTACATGACCCAACATAAACAGTGTTTTTGTTTTTAAAATGGTATATAAATTTTACATATATAAAACTTGCCTTATAGAACCACAAATAAGTGCTATGACAGCTACTCTCTTGGAACGTTTCATTGCAATTTTTTTTTTTTTTTAAGATTTATTTTTACAAGAGCCGGGGTACAGGCCAGATGCACAGGAGGGTGAGAGGATTCATCAGAGACAGAGTGGGGAACAGAACACGCAGACTGACGAAATACACTAAGGGGAGCAGAGGGCAAGACAGGAGAGGTATGCTCGCCATGTGAGTTGCTCCCAGGCCAGCGGGGATCGAACCGGCACTGCAGAGGCTGCGGACAGCTTCACAGCGCTGAGCTCAACTGCCTGGGCCACCAGGGAGGCCCTCATTGCAATTCTAATACATGTTGATAGGCAATTTTAAAGAAATTGCTGGAATCTTTATGTGTTCATAATCTTTAACAAAGCCCAGTAGCTAGAGTGCTCTCATGCTCATTCTCTTTATATATTCTCTGTATCTTTAAATCTTGATATGATGTATAATTCTTTAAAATCAATTCCTAAAGTCACACTTGACAACTTGAAATTAGTATGGACATAAAATATATCCTAAATGCCTCAACTGCTGGCCCTGTCTGTTGGTATTCAATTAAGTTAGTTGGTCAGAAGCCATATATTCAGTCCTATTCCAATGGGATCTAGATAGCACACAGAACACGATATTGCACCATTGACTCTTTCTGAGGCTGGAAAAAAAGAGAAAAATCTTGCTAAGGTAATATGATTGCTTTGTGTATTATCTATTACTTTGAAGCTCTGCTTGATCCTTGAAAATTAAGCATGCTGCTCTCATCAGCAAAAACTTCCCAAGTAAACAAAAAAATTAAAGGAAATGTATTCAGGAATAATGTTATTTTCTGTGTGGCCCGGAGAAACACAAAGAGTTAACCATAAAATATGTATTGCTTAGAAATAGTCTCATTAATTTGACCAATACAGCATTCTAATCATTTGTTCTTTATAGGTTAGTGAAGCACAATTATTTTCTTATCAGGTCTTCACAAAGGAGGGAAGACTTTTATATGCAACTGTCAGTTGAGGAAATCTGGGAAATCTTTGTCCAAATTGTTCCCTCAATATAATACCTTTTCTTTCATTATTTGCATTGTTTATACCCTTCTACTTACCACCTGCTAAACACAAGCTCAAAGTTCCTGCCCTGCATCATGAAAAGCAAAAGAAAGGCTAAGCAAGGGACGAAACAAATCTTACGTAGATGTTTATACAGTTTTCCAAACACTTCTAGTTTGATGGGCAAATGAGTAGGCATTAAGGGGAGCTGAGGAAAAAGGGAGAAAGTCTTAAAACATGAAAATGTTATGATGCTTCTTTATAATATGTGAATTGCACATATTATCTGTGATGAAGCAGATTTACATCTATACTAGAATTCCCTTTGGTTGATTTCAAAATGATGACTCAAACAGAAAGAATTATTTTGGTATATTATGGTAGAGTCATTTTATGAAACCAATTTAGCTGATG